GCTTAAATGGGTAATGAAGAAAAACTTTAATATAAGTTTATATTAAAGTTTTTCTTCATTACCCATTTAAGCCGTCTCCAGCCATTATTAGTCTCAAAGTGGGTTCCTCGTCATCGAATTGGACAAAGTTATAAGCATCCTGGCCAATGTTAGCATACACATGGCCAGTGATGCCAAAACTATAATAATAGACTTAATTTGATACTAAATTGCTCACATTCTTTTTTATTTGCTTTTTAGTAGTGCTGGTGTTATTGCACTGTGGTGTGTCTCTGTTGTGCTGCCTGGACCAAGTTGTAGTATCCTATTAGCAGTATAAAGTAAAATCAGATAGCTTTAGTCATGATGTCTAATATAGGACTAGAAAGGATTTACCTCATCAACCTTGGAGGTATGACACCATTCCTTAATCTACCCTTCACAGTGCTCTCCAAGATATTGCCAAGGGACAATCTCAAAGGAATGTGACAAAAAATACAACATTCCAAGACGAACCCTTTAAAATAAATTGAAAGGTTTATATATCTTGAAACCTGAGCACCCTACAGTGTTATCAGAGTTAGAGAAAAGGATGATCATTGAACATTTGTTGAAACTATCAGATTGGGGCTTCTCCTTTGATAGGACAGACCTGAGAGTAACAGTCAAAATTTACTTGGATAAGCAAGGCCAGAATCAGAAAATGTTTAAAAATAATTATCCTGGAAAGCAGTGGACCGATCTGTTTATGAAAAGGCACCACAAAGATCTTGCGCAGTAAATAAACCAAAACATCACATCCAAAAAGACTAAAGTAGACCTAGAACAGGTACAAATATACTTCAATAACATAAGAGAAACACTGCAAGGCATACCACCTTAAAATATTGTCATTTATAATGAAACTAGCCTGGTAGATGATTCGAGAAAGTATAAAAGTTTGTTCAGAACAAGCATAAAATATCCAGAATGTTCAATTCACTTCAGTAAAAGTGCAATATCCTTGATGTTTGCTGGAATGGCAGCTGGAGACTTACTGCCTGTTGTCAGATTTTGAAAATAATATATACATAGGTTATTCTTTTTGCCAATTGTTGAAATAAGTGGCTTTTACTTATATTTCTTAACAGTATGAATATATACTATGTCGTTGTTGGGCTTAGGATGCTTCTACAGTAGGTGTATGTGACTTGTTAGAGATAAATTCAATGATGAATAAACAGCACACACTTTATTTGTTTTCAAATAATATATATTCGGAACAAGTTAAACCTATGTACAACAAAGTCTTCACACTACAGAGATTACAGGCATATCATAAACACTATTTATATATAGTTCTCTTATTCTTGTCAAAAGTCCACTTAGGCCTATTCAATTACTTTAGAATTTCAAGAAATTTAGAAAGTTGAACAATCTTCTCTATATTACTAATACTATTGTACTAGTATTCTGTGTGTGTGATTCACTTACAGTTACAGTTGTGATGCAAGTTACCGTAACTCGTTTGGTCTTTTTTCTTCTGAAGATCCTCTGTTCTTTTTGTCAAAGCATACCCAGGCTGATTCAATTACTTTAGAACCACACTTTGACAGAATAAAATTATCCTTCTTATTTTTTTTATACTGTTAGCTTCACTCTAATATATTAAACTTTAGGCCTACGTCAGTCGTTAGGTCTATCACATTTACGTTACATCACTTCACACCAACTATATTCTGTTTGCTTTTATCTGTCTAATACTGTATGTCTGCTACTTCCTGCTAGACTCATGCTATTTATATCTCTATTACATAGTCATCTGGCCATTTTCTATATTCTCGACACCAATTAGTTATTAAAAAAAAAACCTTCTACAATCATCTGCTTTTAACTCTTATTATAACAAATCTTAAAAATAATAAAATATTCACTCACAAATATAAATTAATCACCAGTATTTAAACCAAACAATCTTTTTATATCATGACACCTGTGTATGTTGTCTACTGGGCAGAAGATATGTGGGACTCCAGGACTCAGAGAAGTCCAAAGGGGCACATGATATAATAGGTCAAAGTCTGGATGGTTTGAGAAAGCAAGTTTTTGACAACTGGTTGAATACTATTCTTCTACCTTACCTCCATAAACAAGAAGGCAAAAATTGAAAATTGGCAGACTCCACAAGGAGAACACCAGCAGTGGGGAGGAAGAGTAGCAAGTGTGTGAGAAGAGTTAAGTATCTATTGGAAATACATTTTCAGTGTAAAAAAAATGTTAACTTCTGATATGTTACCTCCTCTCACAGAAAGCTAATATCCCACATTGCAAAAGTGGAGGGGCCGATGTAGGCACACAGATATCAAACCAAGAGGAAAGTGACTGCCCAGAATGAATGGTTGTACTTGGAGATGAAAAAGATACCTGTGGGGTACCTCACTACTTCTGAAACAGGCATGCTCTTTGCCCAGGAAATAGGAAGTGAATACAAAATGGCTGGAAAAGGAAGTTACTTGCGAATATGGTTTGATAGCTGCAAACTATAGTAACATAAAAATGGAATGAGCTATGTACACTCTCAACCTCAACCGGACAGATGGGGTTCCAAAATTCATCCTCGGCATTAGGAAGTTGAGGATGCAAAAAAAATTTGTAGTAACAACATTGTGGCTAGGGCATGTGGACAGTGTTATATATATATACCCAACAATCCAAACAATAAGTAAACAGTGTCATACATCTAGCAACTGGAATTATGATAACCAGAAAACTCCCCAAATCACTGTAGGAGCAAGAAGTACAGCAAACCTAATCTTGCATTATGGGGTATGGCATTGGTTGTTCACGATTCCATATTTTGAATAGCAGACCGACTCCAATTTATTCAATCAAATGGTCAGCAGGGATGGGCAGAAATCCCACTCTGCTTTACTCGGGTTTGATATTTGTGTGCCTACATCGGCCCCTCCACCTTTGCAATGTGTAATTCTAGCTTTCTTTGAGAGGAGGTAAGACTGTATCAAAAGTAAACATTTTTCTTATAATGAAAATGTATTTCCAACAGATACTTAACTCTTCCTCCCCACTGCTGGTGTTCTCCTTTTGGAGCCTGCCAATTCTCAAATGTGAGGACTGAGTGGGAATAGCAGAGGGAGCTAGATGCACTAGTATAGATAGCACATAATTGTTGGTGGAGAGTAGTCACATGATATGGACATGTTCAGAAATTGTGCAAAATTGATGGGGTACATAGACTGATGTGCTGATTGCAAAAATTATTTTAGAAATAGTTAGAGGGCAGGTGAACATCAAGATAGCTTTGTGTGAAAGGAGGTAAGACCATATCGGAATTACCAGGTTTTACAGTACTCACTTATGAAATATGTAAAGTAAAATAAATACATGTATATGTTCAAACAAAATATTTATTTTGTCCAGTTTACAAGCTAACTTGTTAAACAGAACACTGTCTGCATTTCAATAAGATAAATGTCAATATTTTAAATACAACATCCAAGTTAAACAGAATGCAAACTGGTGTGCCAAATAAAACTTATACATGTAAAACAAAACATTTACATGCTAGTGATTTTAAGTTACTATTTAGTTATGTTTTTCTTAAGATAGAATATTGACAATATGTAATACATGCATTTAAAACTAAACACATGTAAATGTTTAAATATATTAATTGTGATTATGTTTCAAAAATGAACATCTACACAGTTATGCTTCAAAAAAACACTTCAATGTTTATGATTGAGCCAAACCATTATATGATCTCAATAACCTGACTTCAAGAGAACACTTATTTGTCTATAATAGCAATCATTTAAGTTATGCTCTGCAACTCTGCTTGTATATATCTGCATGAAAAAAATATTAGTTGTTTCTTTCTCTTTCACATAAGCTATTACTCACTGAAAGAAAAACTAGAAAAATACATAAAAGAACACTTATGATGAAAGAGTAAATCTGAATAATTAGGAAATGGATGATACCAACATGTTTATTGTATTTCAATCATGCTGAACATATGTCTTCTTTGTTTTTTACAAGTAAATGAGGATTTGTAAAAATGAGAATAAAAATAATTAGAGGAGTGTTGACAAGGCAAATCCTGTCAAGGTACACTTACTGGATTGAGTAAGGTAGCCCTCCTCATACGACTTACGCTAGGCCCCAACATTCCTAGTTGCAGCCCTGACTATATGTCTGTAATAAAATTAAACTTGAAGTATTATTCTATGTTAATTATTATTTTATTTTTTAACTATAGAAGTATGTAACTCACTATAGTGCAAATGAAATCAAAACTTACTGATAGATAAGAGAGAATAATTCTTCTGCCTGGTGGCAGGCCTGTACTTTTGAGCCTGTTGATGTGACATTAGTTTGAGACAATTGATAGCAACAAAAACAGCAATATCATGTGGACAGTCAAAGTATCTTGTACCTTTCACTGATCCATCAGAATATCCACAATCCTGATGTGTCTGTAACAATAGAGATAATGTACCTTGATTAATAAATGACAAAAACTATACACTATGAAGCTATGTTTCCAAAATAAAACGCTTCAGCCATGTACCCTAGAAATTAAAAAAGTAGCAAAGCTTGGGTAGCTAATAAATTACTAGAAACATTTGTATATTTAGTTACATGTTAAACTGTGGATGGAAATAAGCCTTTAGCTTCAATACAACTACATGAATATATGTTGATTAAAGTAATAAAGCTTATTGTTATAAGAAATGTATTCAACAATACAATTCTTTTAATAATAAGCTTTACTATTTAACATGTCAAATGCATGCTATAGATTTGATTAGAATGTATTATTTGAAGCTTTTTTCTGTCAGTTACGGTTTGTGTTTTAGTGGAATGCTCCTGTAGAAGCTGTAAAGCAAATGCTGAGTGTACAATTAAAGAAAAATAACAAATTTGGTGTTACAAGGTCATTTATTTCTAGTATCAATCTGAACTCTTGTATTTTCTCTAGATAAGAGGACCGGTGTGTATGACATCACTGTGTTCCCAGATTTTGACTCAGCACAGAACAATAGTTAGGAGTTTTTTCTTTACTCTAACTCTTATACTGAGTTAAAGTGCTAAACACCACTTGTGATTCTTTTTTAGCTTTTTAAACAAACTTTTATTTGGTTTACCATAGAAAACATACTCAATATTTTGGTTAATGCATCATTGAGCTGAAAGATAAATTTTGTAAATGCAGATGCTCTCCTATGATGCCAGTAGATATGAGCCTCCCCTTTTTATATGACTCCAATCTATTCCCACCAGCCAAGTCATACATGATTGATCCAACTATTAAATCTATTTTCCATTATAGCCATTCACTCATGCATGTATTATTAACAAGGTCTTTTTTTCTCCAAGGTTAAGTACTAGTTCAGGCATTTGTCTGGAGGGATACTTAGTGCCCAACTAGTAAAGGTGGGTTTTTGATGGGAAGCTCCCATTTTACTCCCACATCAAATTCTTGGGTATTGAATCCTTTGTCTCTTTATTTTATTTTATTTTCTTTAATTATACCATAATTTATTTTTCTATCTCTCTTTTTGTATTTTCTTTTTCTTTGAGGTTAGTTGGAATTTGTTTAGAACAATAAGACTAGACTCCCATCAAGAAGCAAGAAGATCAGATGGCTTGTTGTGCTTTTCCTTCATAGTTAGTCTGAATGAGGTGAGAATCAAGGCTCCAATTGTTTTTTCCACGACAAAGTCTCCTGACTATATCTCTTCAGATACAAGAAGAGTGAAAAGAAATTGTCTATTTTTGAGTGTCCCTGATTATTTGAACCTCAACACCTATCACAAGTAAAGAAGAAGATGCCCGGGAAATTGTAAACCAATTAGTCTTACTTCTGTAATGGGGAAAATTCTAAAGTCAGATAAAAGAAGCATTGTGAAATCATCTAGTAAAATATGATGTCATAAAATAAAGGGACCAGTAGGAATGAGATAATACCAAATTGCCTTATTAACAGAACAAAGGAGATGATAAGAGATGGAACAATCATGCAGAAAAGAAAGGGAAGAGAGTATGATTTAAGAAAACATCCAATCACCCACCTGAACAGCCCGAGTCTTGGAACAGTGTGAAGTCTAAGAAGACAATCAACCTATATGGGGGGCATCCAAGGAAAAAATATCAGAAATAACAGTGTCCATTAAATGAATTTGTTCACTAGTATTATATGTAGGCATATCATATGTTTTCTACCTGCTTCTATTAATACAGAAATTGTAAAAATATTTTGTTTGTCTAGTTTCTATGCAGTTTTATCATAAACAGGGGTCCAGTAAATCCTCAAATTGCCTTGCTCTAGCTGCTTTGTTTCTTTGTTCTCTATGAAAGATAGTATCTATTCTGCCCAAGGAGGATGTTGCAGCATAATTCACTTAAGTGTTAAAAGGGTCAACAACTGTAATGTCCTTTACTGGCCAAATGAATGATGTCTGTATATTACAGTGAGCAAACAATAAGAGAAAGAATAAGAGCTTTCTTCCAAAATTGAAGCAACTATTCATTCTCAGTTCAACATAGTTTTTGATCATGACTACTTCACCAGCGATTCATCTTGAGAGAACGAAAGCTGACAATCTACTCAACAATCCTGTAGAAGTGAGTGTCTGCTTATTTGCACAAGTACACATTACATTTTCTTTTTGTTTCACCTCAATAAAGATTGTGTTCATTTTTTCAAACTTCAACAGTCTTTTTATTTTTCAAGCAAAATTAAAAGTCAGTCAAGATTTCAGATTGAGATTTCCCCCAAATTTCCTGGTCAATCTTACTGTTATTAATCAGACCTATCCAATAAGTGTGCAGAAATTAGTTTTACCTGAAAATACCAAACTAGCTTGAATGTTCTTAAAGGCATCGACCTCCTCCTTCATCACATTTTGTTTTCAAGTGCACAGTGTTTTTTTTATGGATGAAGTTTGGAAATATAAGCATTTTCACATAAAACATTTTCTTTCCAACTTTCTTGTAAGCCATGCAGAATATTTTTAGATTCCCCATTGTCTTTTTTTCACTTACGAGCAAACTGTAACATTGGTATCCATAGCATAAACATGTTATACTGGTAGAATCAGTAGGCTTTGAACTTTCACTGCCCTCAACTTACCCTTTTAATCATTTTAGCAATTTTTTCTCCTTTTCTTTTCACATCACAAATGAAAACTCTACTGTTACTTCATCATTTTATTGTGCATATGGGAAAGTATAAATGTGAATTAATGAAATACTAAACTGATACTAATAAATTTGGCATTTGGATGACCTTTATTAATAATACCGTCAGTTAACCCTTATGGCAGATCTAATAATTAGAGCTTTTAAAACATCAAGCATGCTTGTGATGTTAATTTAATTTCTCTCTTGTTTAGTTTCCAATTCCTCCTTCTCTCTAAATTTCAAAGACTTTGACTTGTGTGATGCTTCTTTGTTTTAGGTAATGAGCATGGTTGCCAGGTTGGCCTTTTTATGGCCAAATTCCAGCAATTTTACCTTTTTCTACTGTGTTTGGCCATGAAAATTTTGGTTTGGTCTTTTTTCATATTTTGGCCAAACTTTTTTGGTAAATTATGGTCAATTTTCCATACAATTTTATTTGTTTCTGTTTATATATACTTCTACAGGATGAGGCAACACGATGTTTGTACACATACAACATCGTATGTTGCATTATTAAGTAGTAGTAGAACGTTTTACACATTGCGATGTGTGTGTCATGTGTTCCATTGCAGATATTGAAGAAATTATATGAGTTTTATTTCTTAAACCTGATAACCCTTTATTTACTATGTCTCCTAAGTGGAAACCGTATTATGATAGTGGCAGGAAATACAATAAAAGTGAAAGTTGGTCTTTTTTAACCATTAATTTGGCTATAAATCTCCCCAACCCCCTGGCAACCCTGGTAATGAGCTAATAATTAATTATAGTGTTGTGTAGTAACTGCTAAGTAATTTCCAACTAACTCCTCAATTTGCACAATGCACCACTTTTGTATGTTGTAATGCCACTTACTAACCACTTGTTCATTTATTCATTCACAGGAAGTACTGAGTACTTCATGAAACGTAAAATGTGGTGAGTAGAAATCACCGATTTTTCTTGCCAAGATGGACATCTCAATATACATTTGCTAATCAAATTGTGGATAATTTAAACGATATCGAAGCAAACAGTGTAAAATCTAATCAAAGCCATTAGAGGTCATGATTTTGTCCAATTCAGTTTGATTATGGTTCAGGGGATGAAATGTTCCAAAATAGTTTATTTCCCCTTGTGGGAAAGTAACTTTTTTTCACTCTCCCACACATTTCAGTTATTTCCATTGAAAAACATGGTTGCTGGAAATCAACAAATTAATTGAATTCTCATGCACTAAATAGATTTTCCTTTATAAAATGGTAGATCTACTGGATATGGAGTTTACATTTAAAACATGATGGTATATTAAGAATGCAAACAGTTATTGGCTTAATAAATGCAATACTTCATGTAAACGATAAGTTTATTCATACGTATTAAACTTTTAATGAAACAACATTACACTCTTTATGACTCTGTATGCATTTAAATGGAAGAACTATGGAAAGTCACTGCTTCTTAATGTTTATCAATATTTTAGCTAAAGAAGAAAACTACATAATCCACATCACTTCATAAAAATAAAAATACATTAAACTATAGATTAAAAAGTCTACAGAATAAAACAGACTAAGAAGAAATATTCATCACATCACTTTAAGTTAGAGCATTTACTTATTTGTAAATGTTGACTAGATTTAACTAGAAACTTCAAGGGGAGGGTTTACTAAATGACCCAGGTCTAATTCAAACAGAAAAAAAAGAAACTGTTAAATAGTGCAAATGCTCTTGACTAGAGCTAGTAAAATACTTGAAAAAAAGGCTTTACTAATAACCTAAATCTAAATTATTCCAACAAAAAGCAGTTCAATAGTTCAAACTCTCTCATCAGAATCTATTTCACTAACAGTTATAACACAGGTGGACACATCTTGTATATCAAATTGCAGTTCTCAGACTTTATAATTTTCCTATACTGAAAATGTATTTCCAACAGGTATTTACCTACTCTCACAAAAATAGCTATTCATGTTCAGTGCTGCCTTCTATGATAAAAAATTTGTTTTTGTGTGCCACAAGCCTTGAGCTCCCACATACCTTACAATCAACTGGTTCAAATGTATCTCATGTGTAAATCATCATGCAACAACCCTCCTGCAATAAGAGTGATACATTCTGATACATGTGACTCCCTCTATTTGATAGTTCAAGCTCTCTCATCAGAATCTATTTCACTAAAAGTTATAACACAGGTGGACACATCTTGTATATCAAATTGCAGTTCTCAGACTTTATAATTTTCCTATACTGAAAATGTATTTCCAACAGGTATTTACCTACTCTCACAAAAATAGCTATTCATGTTCAG